ATTATTTTTTCCCTAAATCTGCAAGTTACTCCTACACTACTCCCATAGTCTCACAGTTTCTATGGCTGCCCGATGCCCCACAGCTCTGATCCCTAACTACACAGACCATTCCTTGTGCAGGATGCAAAGCCCACCACAAAGGGCCATGACCTTGGAAAGCAATCGTTTTTGTTTAAGTACAGCCATTCATAAGTGGGCTAAGAGTCCAATGGGTAAACATAGGTCCTGGCCCTGTAGATGCTTTTTAAGATCTTTGAGAAGCCTGTTTATCAGATCTTGAAAGAAATCTCATGGTGGCCTTACAGTAAATCAAAGGATCTTTTTCCCTGTGCTCCATTTGTGGTTTGAATCATTTACAATAAGCCTGTTTTCAGAGATAGAAACAGGTGGTTGAGTTGGTGGATAAATCACAAAGCTCTTTCATTAATACCATTTCACAGGAAATATGGTAAAAATATGGCTATAACTGACCTGCACATAAAAATATGGGATGAAACTAGAAGGTGTAGCCCAAACTGGCTTGTAATCTGCTCAGTCTGATAGTGAGAGCAGTCTTCATTTGAAAAGGCATAAACAGTGACCCAGAATACTGACTGTGACAACAGCTACACTGAGGGACCAACATGTGGGAACCATAAATCCAAACCTGGAGAGTTCTATCTGCAAAATTAAATTGTCAGGTGATGCTGGCCTCACACACCACCTCACAGAACACATTTCTTCCAGCTTCTGGAGAGCTGAGGAAAAGACAAATCTGGATTACTTCAGTGGCACTTGAAGGCCTCTGGACACTGACGCTAAGCAAATATGCTGTGTATCTTCTCTGCTATTCTTGGGGCTGTGAGTGAATGCCAAGGGAAAGGAAGGTAAGGTTGGAGTCTGCCCAGAATAAATTCCACAAAGTGATTTTTTTTTTTTTTTTTTTTTTTTTTTTTTTTCAGTGCAAGGTATTTGCAATCATTTGGTGCTATCTGCTCAGGAATGTGACAATACAAACAACTGGCTGTGTCCCGGCACTATGGGAGAGTTAGTTACCTTTAAGAAACTAATGATGAGAATGCTTCCTGTCTTCTCTGACCCAGAAAAGGCAGTACATCCAGTTCAGTGCTGGGTGTCTATATGAGATGCGAGATCAATGAGGTTACTAAGAACTTCACTCACATCTTTAGTAGCTTTAAAAATTAATCTAATTCATGAAGCCTTCATGAATCCATATTGTCGGCTATCTCTTGCTTTCCAAATCTTCCCTGCACTCCCCTGAAAGGCCTTTTCTTTCACACCATAAGCTCTGGGGAAGAAGCAATGCTTGTTTTTGTACTGGCCTTACTACTAAGTGCCCTGCTTTTAGTAAAGACATTGGTACATAAGCAATGTACCTTTTAGTAGGCTCAGGCTTCTGAGATATTTTAAGTTTGGAGCTACATGACAGAAGCTGCTAACAAGTGATCCATCAAAAAAGAATGTTGCAGGAGATGAAGAAAGTATTCGTAATGCCTGAAGACTTCTACAGGTTTAATGCTTTTTTTTTTTTTTTTTTTTAAGTAATTTATCCTCAGGATATCCTCAGGAACAAACAAAAATAACATCTCATCCATTAAGCACTACTTTCACGCATGCATACCATTACATGAAAAGGTTGCTCAGAAAAGTCAGAGGAATATTTTCTGTTCTAGATTACAATAATTTGCTGATAAAAAAATTTGAACTTAAACGTCCTAACTTGATTTGGTCTAGAGAATCATGCAAGGCAGCACAAACCCTCTAATAAGTTCCAGCACAGGCTAGCTGCATCTCAGGCCTGAGTGTGCAGGATAAAAACATGCCATCTATCTGCAGACTCCTTTCCAAAGCAAGCAGATGGTTGCCACAGACAGAACAAATGGGAACTCAGTTCATTTGACCTCCAAGAACAACGTGGTAAACCGCTTTAATGTTGACGCTGGTGGTGTTGCACATATTTGTCCTAAGCAACAAGCAGGACTCTCTTTTGACTGGACTGTTAGGGCCAGATGTCTCTGTTCAAATATCCCTTGCCAAAATCTCAGCCTACCCATCAAAACTTATGCAAAGAAGACAGACAGTGCCCACCTGGGAGAAATGCTGAATCTGCACCAGAGGGACTGCTGGGCATGGACTGGATCCTGGGAACTGCATTAACCAGCTGGCACAGTGTTACATAGAGCACAGTTTGGGATGCTACATCCCTGTCCCATGTGGCAAGTGTCACAAAGCCTCCTGTGTTTTGGGACATTTTACAACTGAAGTTACTAAAAGCTTCTGGTTAGTATTTTGTATGTTTTAAAATAAAACGTTCAGCAGAGCTGAAATTTATTAATTTTGAAAACTAAGCCATCTGGAGCATTAGCTGCTTAATTACAGCAGAAACAGTCATGAATGAACAATGTGAAACACTTTCCATTTTCCATTGCAGGATTCAGAGTGTGCTTGAGCCTTTTAATTTCTTGACTAAAAAAAAAAATAATAAAAAAAATTAACAAAAATACCCAAGCAGTCATGTTATGATATTCCTTCAGCTTTGTTTTTCTGTTTTCCTTTTTTCATAGAGTAAAAAAGTCCCCAGAAAATCAAAGAACAAACACTTCCACCCCAAAATCAAAACCTAAGCCTTAATTATGTAGTGATAAAATTCGGTCTGTCCTTACAAAGCAGCGATGACAACAATCACCATATATGGATGAGTGCAGAAGAAAAATAATCAAAGAAAGATGTTTCATTTCTCGGTTTCTTATTGCATTTAATGCAATTTTTCCCCACAGGGTTATAAATCACTTGTCTTTTTGTGTTTTCACTCATTCTAACCGTTTCTGATCCCAGGGTAAAACCCAACTTGAAACAATGTGGACTTGATGAGTTTACTCTGCTTGAAACAGGGAAGCCTTTGTCCCATATGCCCTAGGCAACTTAAAACACAATGCCCCTATCCTCCTTTGCCATGAGACCTTCAGTCAACATTCCCCATGGTTTATGACAACTGAACCAACAATTAGGCCTGAGGCATTCAAACATGACATTTGAAATAGAGGGTGCATTGACATGTATGAACCCTGTAGTGCTCTGCAGTTGTCCCCTATAATATAAAGGTACAAAGGTAAATTTAGATGTTGCTGCTACAACTAATCATTTTCCATGGCTGCTTTTTCACTATTGTTGTTCTGTGAAAGAGTGAAATCTAGAAGCTGCTCTATATAACATGAGTTTTCCTGCATTTTTGAGAGGGGAATTTCACCAAACATTTATAAATGTTTCCCTTCTCCCACTCTGATGCCACAATGGCATCTAAAGCAGTAAAGCACTCTTCCACAGTGTCCCAGGGCTTGTCCCAGCCCTGAAGCTGTTCCCTGTTGCACGTTGATAAAGAGCGAATGCTGCCTAACAGGTTTGTCCTGAAGAGAAACTGTCTGATACAGCAGATTCCCAGAGCCTGCAATGCCTGTTCCACTGAAATCCAGAAACCCCAGGTGCTGGTGTGACTAGTCCGGGGTGTTTAAAGCAGTCCCTGAGATGATCTGTATTTCCCCCACTGCGCAGTGCATGGGGGTGCCAGAAGGAGAGAAGACTGATTTCAGGTGCAACCAGCTAGTTAAAGGGGCAGCCGCAAAGCAGACTGAAACACCATTTCTGCACATAGGGATCTCTGGGTGTACCTGAAGGTCACTTAACTGACCCTGGAGGAATGGGATGGTGGTGCTGTTGCCAGCTAGGTTTTCCATGGTCATTACTGCCATTTAGCGGTGAGGTCTGCCAATAGATGAAACAGCATTCCTACTGGGAAGGCCACACCTGGATGAATGGTTTCATGTAGATTATCAACAGCATCATTTGGGTGGTTACTTTCAGAAACAAAACAGTTTTCAGAGTGCCAGAAAGACGTATTGCGAGATTCTGAGACTGGATGGATCACTAATAATCAGTATTAATACAGGATGGGAAAATAACAGCAGCCTACAGGTTTATCAACTGAAATACTGACAAGAAATGAGGATTGTCCAAATTCACAGGGGAAAGAATGGGCAAAGAAAAGAAGGAAAAGATATTTCAGTGCAAAGAGCAAATCACTGGTAGAGCTGAACTATATTCCCATTTCAGACTGCTAGGACACAGTCACTTGTATACTCCTAGGTAATAAGTGGTTGGAGATCATTCCTGCCCATCTGGCAGCAGGCCTTGACTAGTTTTGAAATGTGTATAATGTGACATGTATTACACAGCATTCTTCAAAGGCTTAACTTCGCATGCTGGCATTGAAAGTTCCATATTTTTGATAATGGCAAAAAATAGTTTGTTTATATTTGTGCATTGCTCAAATACATGACATTTCTGTATTTTTCATATTGCAATCAGCCTAAACACTCAGATACCAATTGTGTGCTGTTTTGGGCGAGTTAGTGCAAAATTTAATTTGCGTTCACCCATCTGATTCAGGGGGAGTGTAAAACATACTTGTTGCACCATTTTCACATGTTACAGTAATTTGCTCAGCACGACTTCCTGGAGCTCAACCAAGTGGCTGAAAACAGCTAGCATTCAGGACTCCTACCACAGCAGACAGTAACAGAAAAACACCCTAGAAACACTTTAAAGAAATAAAATAGAAAGAAAAACAGGCTGAACAGAAGACAAACATTTCTTAACTCTTCATTATCTTTTCTTTAACATGTCTCTGAAACAAAGCAACGTCTGACACATGGGGAGTTGTATTGCAGAAACATTTGACAGATGAAATACTTTGGAGGCCAGATAACCTGCTACAATTTGAGTTTTGTCATGGTTTGTCAGGGGATACAGAGCAAACTGGGTAACTGCTACACAAATCTTCACAGGCTTTTACTTTCACTGTGTTCCAGTTTATTCTTCCATTTGCTAAAGCTGTATCTCACTCAAATGATGTACCATTTTGATCAGTGTAAATGGAGTAACTGAGAATGCAATGCATTCCTTAAACACACCTCATATAACAAAGCATGTAGGCATATGCTTACCTTTAAGAAGGTGAATCAGAGCAGTAGATTATCCCTTGCTAAAACTTGAGAGTCTAAAGGTAAGCTCATGCTTTTATACTTGGATAGACCAAGTTGCTACTTATGCATTTTTCCCTGTTTGCTCTCATGTGAGTCTTCTGTATAAATTACCTGTGCTGCTTGCACACCAGCGCTGTGTAGGTGAAATGTGCAGCTGCCACAGTGCAGCCACTGTCAATGCCTTAGCTCTTCAGGGTACTGAAACAGGTCTAGGTCTTTTAAAATCATTGATTCTACAGGAGGTGACAAAGAGAGGCAAAACAATTCCTTTGTAATGCTCAAGAGTCTCTTCAATTTATTAGGCTGGCAAACAACTACTGCTAAGCTTTTTTGCAGCCTGTCATTTTGCTGGATGATTTCCAAGTGTGATGGAAATAGCAGCAACAGCAGTTGAGGTTTATCTGCAATAGGATTACCAGATTTCCTACAATAGTTCTTGGAGGCAGATCTCTCTATTGTGCTCCAGTGGAAGAGATCTGAGACCTGCAAGAGACGGAAGTCTCCACTGCAGCTTCTACTCAACAGCACCCAGTTTTCTCCTACTATGTTGCACAACCTGCTGCCTTTGTCTTCTCCTACCTGACCTCATGTGCCTCTTTTCCGTTATTCTTGTGCTGGCAAGGGAGCTACTTAATATTCTGGACTGCTGTGCCAAGATGCTTCACCCTGCCTCCATCTTTCCCACAAGGCAACAGCCATATTTTTACAGTTTTCTGCCTGCAACATGTGGAAAGCCATTTCTTATACCATCCTGCCTGTTCCTGCTCCCCAAGTTCTTAACTTATGAATTCAACAGATTTTTCCGTGTGTCTTCTCTTTCTCCATGGTTAGAGTTTATAAAGGAAAGATACGACAGACCAAAATTGGTACTGCATTAAAAAAAGAAAGTATGAAGAAGTGTTTGCAAAGAGAGAGCATACTCCTGTCAGTCTTTCCATGGCTTGCATGAGATGATCAGTGCAGTAATTTGGGCTTCCTTAATGCCCATTGTGGCACATACACCTCCTGTTACATGGCCCTTCCTTCTTCATCCTTGGCATGTCAAACAAGTGAGGGCAGCACTGATTATGGCTAGACTGTACTATAAGCAGTCATCCCAGCCATCAGGCAGCTGCCAGACAAAATGGATATGGTTGTTCTCCCTGCTTTTCTCTCTAAAACTGATGGTGCCAGTATTAGAGCTACAATTCTTTCCTTAGCTGTCAAAGGTATTAAATATATGGGGACTTTGTTTAATGAAGACCTCTTCTGTCTGTCAAATTCAGTGAAAGCTGACCAAAAAGGAGTGCAATTATAAGCAGAGGGATGATGAGAAGCAAAGCAGTTACACAGGTATTCCTTTCTTCAGAGGAAATAAATAAACATGCATAAACTTACTTTCCTAAACTTCTCCAAATTCATTTGACGTCCTGGGCGGTACTTTTGGTCTTGCTACCCATCACCCTCTTCTGTACTTTGAAGTCACAGTCCCTGCTGAGTACCAGAGGTGACACTATATATATATACATACATATATATATATGTATGTATGTATATAAACCCCCAACCCCCCTGTAATTTAACTCTTTCACATTTTGAAGTAAAAAGCTACATGCAATGTGTGAAGAGCTACATGCAATGTGTGAATATTAGGGAAATAACTGATGTGCAAGCCATAGAAATAAGCATTGACTCAGCTAATACCCTTTACAGTGCAATTTTATCTAATAGCCAACTTCATTTCAGCATTTTAAATCCAAAATTTAATACTGGAAGGAGGGGGAGGTCAACTGTACTTCAGTCTCCTTGCAAAACCAATTGCTACAGAATAGTGGTATAATATTTAGTAAAGTACAATGTAAAGACTGAACCCTACGATATATTTAGTTTTACTGACCTTTGCCTTACAACTGTACATTCCCACTCCCCTTAATATAGGCATTTATACAGATTTTTTTTTTTTTTTTTTTTTGGTACTACTTTTATAAACAGTCTCTGGATGATTGCCTCAAGAGGTTACTCAATTATTTATAATGCTAATGCAGAGAAGCAAAATATTCTGAGGAGGATATACCATTAATTAACATGTCTTCTTCCTTATCATTGCCTTATTCACATTTTAATCCCTTTGTTAAGGATGCTCCATTCATAAATAACTCTGGCAAGTGACTTTTACCACACTCTAAAACACAACATTTGTTGGCTGGAATGTAAAACAGACTTTTGTGTTATCTCTCCTTGAGCAAGAAACTTCATTTTAATGTGATGCCACATACCTAAGTAGTTACTTTGGAGTTTATTTTGAAATGCAGCAGTCACTGTAGACTTTATTTTTTCTTCTGCTATTATACAGGCCAGTAAAGTAAGTGCCTCTACATTATTTTTTTTTTTTTTTTGCTGTAGGGAATTGCATTATTGATATTGCTATCTCTCCCAAAGTCACAAATAATTTATTTCATTTAAATTCTTGCTCAGACTAATCAGTCCCAAACTACCAATTCAATCACTGATGCTGAGATAAACACATTGCCCTCACATGCTGAGCCAAACAATTTTCCAGATTGGACTTGATAGATGGTTCCCTAAAATGTTTATAAAGTTGAAAATGTAGCATTTTCATTTCATATATTATAAACCAACAGAATATCAGATGGACCTTCAAACTCCTTGTTTCATTTACATTGAGCTCAGTCAGGTACCCTAACAAAACCTGTGGGCTCAGTTGGAGAGTGTCTTCCTCATACTCTGTAAACACGACAAAAAGGCTCAAGCCAATAGGATGCTATGATGAACAGGCATGGAGAATTTTTCCTTTCCAGCACCTTTCTGCCTTTCCCCCTCACTCTGAATGGTAAAATCGATGTGAATGTCTGTCTGTGTGGTCAAGAAGGGCAAGTGCTCTCAGTGCTCCAGTCATTTACTGTGGGTAAGGGGCTATTTGTTCTCCCACCTTTGCTTTACAGCTGTGTTTCCCTGAAGGAGGGTTTTCATCCCCATATGGAGCCAGACAAAATGCTTTTGAGAGATGGGTGGTAAAGGCACCCTTTGAAGTCAGGTGTGACCACAGAGCTTCAATGAAAGTATTATGCAAGGGAACCCTTTTCCTTTGGTACTGATGAAAGTTTCAATATCTGGAGGAGTAACCTAGAGGAATCTCATAAAAGAAACCCTTCTGGTGTATTCTGTCAATGATGTTTTATCTTACATATGGAGTTTATTAGTATTTCTAAAAGTAGGTTCCAGATATAAACATTTTGATTAGAGGCAAGACAAATGCATTTTAAATATATGCTGAGTGATGATACAAAAGTAGAAAAAAACCCCAACAACTAGATACTCCCCCCCACAATGCTAAATGAGAAGTGCTGAATTTCATTAATTAAATATCTTAAATTTATCTAATTTTAAGAGCTTATTACAAGCTCTGAATTCTCTCAGTAAGATTTTTTAATGTCTTAAGGCCCAAAGATAATGTCTGTTGACCACTGACACATGAAGATACAACAGTACTAATAAAACATTTAAGAGCAAGAATATTGCCAGGATCATTTTAAAGCATTAGTAACAGTAAACTGCACTGATTTCTATGAATTCATTAGGATCGACTCTATCAGAAATCCTTTAGTAGTTTACTGCTACTGCTAAACCCAGGACACCTGTTAAGAGGCCATTCAAGGTTCAAGTGAACTTCAATAGTTCTATACCTAATATAAAAAAAAATTAAAATTAAAAGCAAGAATAATATCTGCTTATATAAATGAAGGAAGCTGATCTAGTTTTACATATATTCCAAATGGGAAAATTAACTCATTTTCATATGGGAACAATGAAATTTGACTACAAATTATTACTTATTTAAAAAAATTGCAGCTAGTTTTGAATTCTCTAAGCAAAAAAATTATTTGAAACCATAAAATGTACTTTAAGTGGTTCAAAATTAGGCCAGACTAATTGAAATTCAATTAATGGAAGAATATTTGATCCTTATATTAAAATCTTGGGGTCTAGTTTCTCCTTTTATATTTGTGAAGCTCTCAGCAGCATTACTTGGATGTAACTGATGAAACATATGCCCTTTCTAGCTTATGTCTGGGCCAACTGAGGCATGGACCCTAGTTGTGGTGCAACTGAAACCCTTTATTGAGCTTGCAGGCTTTTATAGACCCCTATTTGTTAGTAACTGCTAGTACTGGTTAGTTTCTTTTCGGTATTTTTTACAACATCATAACACTTTTCCCAGACAATGACATTACTGATCATGCACCTTTGCTTGAGCAACTTATTTGTATCCAGATGTATAAGCACATTTTTCTGTTACCACTTTCTGCTACATTATTACTTTCAATTTTCCTTGAACACACATTCTTTGTCCCCTCAGTCCACATTGGAGACTTTCATTAGCTCCTGGGAAAGTCCCAGGTGCAACATCTCATCTTTGTCTTCAGTAACTTCTTTCTTTCATGTCTACAGTTCTCGGAGATTATCATGGTGTTCTATGTTTGACTCCTCTTGACTTGTCTTGTTCACTTCTCTCATGGTCTGCAGCTGATGAGGGTCAGGATGTTCGTGCCCTCTTTCAGATCTGCTGAACATTCAGGTCTGTGCAACATTCCCCACAGATGTCTTAATGACAATGGTGCTTACTAGAGTGCACAGAGCTGAACTGAATTCCAAGTTTGAGATCAGAAACAAATTATTCTCCTGGGTGTATGAACCAGAGTTTTCCTTCCCTCTCCCTTTCCCTCTGCCTCAACAATTCCCGTTCCCCTTCCATTTCCTTTTCACTTTGCCATTCCCCCTCCCCTCCCCCAATTCTTCTTAGTTTTATTTATCAGATTTCCATAAGTGTGTTGGTTTGACAGACACAGACAATTTTGCGCATATATGAGACTAATGTGGACACCCTTACACTTCGGTATTTCCTGTTTTACTTCAAGTAGTCATTGTATGTGCATATCAAAGGAATTGCACTTTGAAGCACTCCTCCAAAAAGCAAATCTCAGCCTCAGAAAAATGGAACAGTTTGAAAAAAGTCTTTGAAATAATAGATTCAGAAAGCTGAAATGCTTGTGGCATCATGACTTGGTGAGGTAAATGGCAGAATTGGTACTATGACCCTTGAAAAATGTATTACACTTCATCTCCTGCAATCATTGCTGCTCTTTCACCCCTACTTCCTTCCCAGGGGAAGTGGTGTGTTAACATCTCCTTCTGTATGGGAGGTGCTGCACTCTGGAATACAACTACAGAATCATCGGGGAGCTGCATTCTGCATATGTTCCTGTGAAAGACCAGGAAGGTAACCTGTGAACTGTGGACAGGATGACAAAAAGCCTTAATGAATGTTACTGTTGAAGATTATGGCTAGCAAATCCTATTCTAATGCAAGTTTAGTATTCTGACTGTGAAATACAGCCTGCTCCTCTGCCTTGAGCTCAATAAATCTATGCCCTCTCCAAATATCATGCTGCACTGGTTTTGTGTAGCAAAGTTTTAGTAGAGGGAGGAGGAGGGGAGGGCTACAGGTGTGACTACTGTAAGAAGCTATCATGTTAACGTGCTGTAATGCTATCCATGTCTCATAGAGCCAGTGCCAACTGGTTCCAAGACAGATCTGCAGCTGGCCAAGGCCAAGCCCATCAGCGACAGCGGTAACATGTCTGGTAGAATGTATTTAAGAATGGGGGTGGGAGGAAACTGCTGGAGCAGAAAAACAGCAGCTGGAGGAGTGAGGACCTGTGAGAGCAGCAGCCCTGCAGATACCAAGGTCAGTGCAGAAGGAAGGCAGGAGGTGCTCCAGGCACTGGAGTAGAGATTCCTGTGTAGCCCATGGTGCAGACCATACTGAGGCAGCTGTGCCCCTGCAGCCCATGGAGGTCCACAGTGGAGCAGATTCCCTCTGCAGCCCATGGAGGACTCCACACCAGAGCAGGGGGATGCCCAAAAGAGGCTGTGACCCCAGGGGCAGCCCATGCTGGAGCAGGCTCCTGGCAGGAGCTGTGGTCCCATGGAGAGAAGAGCCCGCACTGGAACAGGTTTGCTGCAGGACTTATGACCTCACAGGGATCCATGCTGGAGCTGCTTGCTCCTGAAGGGCTGCACCCTGCAAAAGGGAACCCACACTGAGCAGAGGAAGTGTGAGGAGTCCTCCTCTGAGA